AGGTACACCAGGTGTGCCTCCACCTACAAACAGGTCTGCCCCTTCCCAGGAGACCATTGAGGAGGTGGAGGAGCTGCTGAACACCCTCCCTGGGGTGACATCGGTGCACAGCCGCTTCTATGACCTCTCCAGCAAGTACTACCAGACGGTGGGGAACCATGCGGCCTACTACAAGGATGCTCTGCGCTTCCTGGGCTGCATCGAGGTGAAGGACCTGCCAGGTAACTCCTGTGCATGCAAAATCCCACTCTCCATGCTCTGCTTTATCACCTCAGCCTAAAGAATTGCCCTGGTGGAGGTTTTCTCTGTGTTACTTTGGCTGTGCTGTGGTGGATCCAGGATCAGGCTGGATCAAGGACCCTCAGGAGCAGTGGCTGAGAAGGATCCTGCTCCCAAGCTGCACCAGGGGGATGGGAGTAGGGAATGCCCCCAGGAGATGGGATAGTTTGTTTGAATTCCCATAAATCACAGAATCAGTCAGGTTGGAAAGGACCTCTGAGGTAGTGTTAGGTCCAACCTGTGACAACTAGACCATGGCACTAACCAGTCTCTCCTTAAACACCTCCGGGGATGGTGACTTCACCACCTTCCTGTGCTGTCCTTTCCAGGGTCTAATCACCCTTTCTGGGAAGAAATTCTTCATAGATCTTCAGATGCAAAAAGTGACCCTTTCGTGCTGTGATTAGCACAGGCTCCTGAATTTGAGGCTTGGGAGAGGTTGAGGGCTGGGAATGGTTTAAGGAAGTCATGGAAGAGGGTGAGGGAGGGATGTGGGGCTGACAGTGCTGCTTCATCCAAATAATTTGTGTTGGTTTGGGTCTTCCCAGTGTCAGAGCAGCAGGAGAGAGCCTTCACCCTGGGGCTGGCTGGGCTGCTGGGAGAAGGCGTGTACAACTTCGGGGAGCTGGTGAGTCCTGCCACATCCCTCCAGCCACATCCCTTCAGTCCTGGAGCACTGGGAGCTGGTGTTGCCCTGCTAACTCCCTCCTGCCTGGCCCCTACAGCTCATGCACCCTGTGCTGGAGTCCCTGCGCAGCACCGACCGCCAGTGGCTCATCGACACTCTCTTCGCCTTCAACAGTGGCAACGTGGAGACCTTCCAGGCCCTCAAGTCAGCCTGGGGGCAGCAGGTGAGGGGAGTTGGTGTGGGATCAGTCAGTACAGAGGACATTTGGGGTCTGTGGACCTTTACCTTATCGACTTTACCGAATTCCTGGCTCTGGTGCACTGGTGTAATTCTAGTTGGAGCATAGAAATTATTGCATCTTAGTACATATTATTGTTTTTTCTCTCTGTGTGGTGGATGGAAAGGAATAAAGAGAAATCTCCTGTGATCCGAGGGTGAAGCACACACAAATGCTCTGCACAGGCAGATAATCCCAGATTTAACCTCCATAACGCCACTTGCTCCCAGGAGTGATCTATTTCTAGTGGAAAAGAGTGGGTTTCCCTCCTGTTCTGGGAAGTGTAAGGGGAAAACAGTGGTGTGGGTGTTACTTGCACTGACTGTACCAGGAATTACTGACACAGCAGTGGTTTACAGGTTGATTTGTGAGGCCCCTGGCACAGGGCTGTGGCCTGGGGAGGTCTGTGTTGCAGCTCCTGGGATTTATCTTCTGGAACCATTCCCAGGTGGTGGGTGGGCTGTGTTGGTCTCCTCAGTGAAGCCCCCCAAGGGGTTTACTCCTGCGTGTAGCAAGCTGTTCTCCCATGAGATGGGGGGGGAAATGCCATAATGACCTGATTTGATGCATCTCCTCCTCTCTCAGCCCGATCTGGCTGCCAACGAGGCGCTTCTGTTGCAGAAGATCCAGCTGTTGTGTCTCATGGAGGTGAGCTGGGATGTGCTCCCTGTGGGATGTGGGAAGGGGCTGTTCCAGCTGCCCTTTGGAGGTGGGATTGATGTCCTGTGCTGTGGTGGGTGCCTTTAGTCACTCACCTGCAGAACTCCTGGGTACAGGATGTTCAGTGTGGGTTTTGCCTGTAGATGGTGCCACAGGCAGGTGCTGTGAGGAAAAGCACCTTGAGCTGGGCTGCTCGTTCCTGATTCCAGTAGTGCCCCTTTCATGGAGTGCCAGGACACAGGGAATGACTTCCCACTGCCAGAGGTCAGGGTTAGATGGGATATTGGGAAGAAATTGTTCCCTGTGAAAGTGCTGAAGCACTGGCACAGGTTGCCCAGAGAAGCTGTGGCTGCACCATCCCTGGAAGTGTTCATTCCTGGGCTTGGAGCAACCTGGGCTAGTGGAAGGTGTCCCCGCTCATGGCAGAGGTTTAGAATGAGGTGAGCTTTGAGGTCCCTTCCAAGCTAAACCAGTCTGGGATTCTCTGATGTGGAGGAGAGGGAGGAAAGAGCAACATCTGTATCTCAGGGATGGTGCCTGGAGTGATAACACTTACAGTATGTTCTAGCATAGCACAGATTTCTAAAACACAGTTAAAATTTTCATTTCCCAAGACCTGAGAGTCCTTTCCCTGAAAGGAAACCCAAAATAGTCACTTCCTGTCACTGGGAGGCTCTGGCTCTGTGGTCACCAAACCACACTGGTGTATCAAGCTCTGTGGCCCTGTGTTTTATTCAGGAACTGAAGTGCTGAGTTCCCTGAAGCATAACTTGAGATTCATACACACCCACAAACCTGTGTGTGCCTGTTCATGGGGGATTTACACTTCTGGGTGTAACTGGGGAACGAGTTTTACCACCTGGAGGTGCTGAGTTGTCTCAGGGCTTTGGTTCACATCACGGATGCTTCAGCACATGCTGAGCTGCTCTGCCCCTGTTCTCCCCCTGCTCTTCCCTTTCTGTGCAGCCTGGTGGTGTCTAGGAAATCTGCCAGGCATGTGGTGAGGACAGAGCAACACTGCTGCTTCCTGCTGGTGTAAAACATTCTTGTTTGGTGTGTTTGGGTTAAATACCAGAAATACAGTTGCCAGAGCAGAGCGAGACTCGGCAGGGCAGCCTGAGGGAGGTTCTGTGTGCTGTGGGAACCACTAAAACCCCGTGGGGTGTATGTTTTCTGTCTGTTCCTGGGTTTAGATGACCTTCACCCGCCCAGCCAACCATCGGCAGCTCACCTTTGAGGAGATCGCCAAGAGTGCCAAAGTCACCGTCAATGAGGTGAGTCTGGACTTAGACAAACCTAGTAATGTCCAGGTTTTTGAGCTCTTAGTGTGTCTGGATAGACCTGAATCACATAGAATCATTGAGGTTGGAAAAGACCTGCAAGACCATCAAGTCCAACCCGTCACCACATTGACAACTAGACTAGAGGACTGAGTGCCACGTCCAGTTGTTCCTTGGATACCTTCAGGGATGGTGACTCCACCCCCTCCCTGGGCAGCTGCAATGCCTGACAGCCCTTTCCATGAAGAAATTCCTCCTAATGTCCAACCTGGACCTCCCCTGGCACAGCTTGAGGCCATTTCCTCTAATTCTGTCACTTGTTGCCAGAGAGAAGAGGCCAGCCCCCACCTGTCTGGACACACCTCTGTTCCTGCTGCTTTCGAGTGTTGGGGCTGTGTTGACTTTTCCAATTGCCTTGTTCTTCCTGGCATTTCAGAGAAAACAGAATAAAGCTGGGTTTGGGGGAAAAAGAACTCCTGTATATTGAGATATTGAACCTCATGGGAGTTCAGTCACCTCAGAGAAGTGTGATAGAGCTGCTGCTGCCCTGGATCCTGCTGTGTGTGTGAACAGCCTTCCAAAAGCTGCTGCCATGTGAGGGTTTCATTGACCTTGGTGGAGACTGGGTGATCTCAGTGGTTTCCCTGGAATTCTCTTTGTTCCCAGGTGGAGCTGCTGGTGATGAAGGCGCTCTCAGTGGGGCTGGTGAAGGGCAGCATCGACGAGGTGGACAAGAGGGTGCACATGACGTGGGTGCAGCCACGGGTGCTGGACTTGCAGCAGGTAAGGGCCTGGTAGCACCTACTGGCTTGGGGTGAGGTGACTTGGGAGTGAAAGTGGAGCTGGGAAGGATCACTGTGTGGCAGTGAGCCTCCTTGGGACTTCCTGAGGGTGCTCAGGGAAGGAACGAGGAAATGAATCAGCTTGTCCTTATTCATTCCATCAGTGAGGAATGAAAAACCTGTCAGGGCATGGAGCTGGACATGGGTGGTGCATCCCTTGTGAAAGGGACACACAAACCACCATGGAACCACACATACCATGGAACACAGACACCCTGGGACACAGACACCATGACTGTGTTTTCCAGAAGGATGTAGACATCCATGTGGCTGCCTTATTCCTAAATGCATGAAACGATCCCTGGGAATTTCTGGGATGAAGAGGGAAGTCCAGGGTGATAAATAAAGTGTTGAGCTTCTCAAGTTCATCCTTGTAATGTAGGAGACTGTACAGGGTGCCTTTACCTTTAAACCCAAAAAATGAGTGTATGGAATTCTAGCTGGAAACAATTCCTTTGGTGCATTTCAGTGTAACTTTAACCATTGCTGATTTGCTGATAGAAGCTGTTAATCCCAGAATCATGGAATGGTTTGGGCTGGAAGGGACCTTAAAGCCCATCCAGTCCTGCCCCCTGCTATGGGCCCCCTCTAGCCCAGGTTGCTCCAAGCCCCATCCAGCCCTGGTCACTCCCAGGGATGAGGCAGCCCTCTTTCTCCATATGTGGGGGAGTGGTTTGGGCTCTTGTGTGTGTGTCCCTGAAGGTGCCTGTGGGTATTGTCACCATGGCCTTGCCTTGCAGATCAAGGGGATGAAGGACCGCCTGGAGTTCTGGTGCACAGACGTGCGCAGCATGGAGATGCTGGTGGAGCACCAAGCCCATGACATCCTCACATAGAGAGCCTGGCACTGCCCTGGGAGAGCGATTCTTGCTGCTCCTGAGGCCATGGGAGACCACTGACTGCACTGAATCCATGGAAGGGGGTGGGTGGGCAGAGGGGAGAGCAGCCTGGAATGTGGTCCAGAGGAGGACGAGGACGTGGCCTTTTGCTGTGTGACCCTTTGGTGCTTTCCCTGTGCTGACACGAGTGGCTC